GGGAACTTTGGTTGCTAGTGGATGTGATAACAGGACGCCCACCTTACGAAGAGTTGCCTGAAAATGTGTCAGAGTTCGTGAAAGTGTTATCTGAAAGGATGGATAATATTCACTATCAAGTGCGTTCAAACTTGAAAACGTCTGCTGATTCGATGAAGCTATGTTATGATAAGAAGTCTACTGAAGTCAGCTTTGTACCAGGAGACAAGGCGTGGTTGTATAATCCCAGGAAGACCAAAGGGAAGTCTCCTAAGTTGTCTTCTCCATGGGAAGGCCCATATGACATAGTGGATCGTCTCTCAGACGTGACCTTCCGAATAAAACGTGGTCGGCGAGGTAAGCCAAAGGTGGTGCATGCCAACAGGCTTTGGCGTTATCACGGTCCAGGACATTTCAGTTGGGATGAAGTGAACAACAGAACAAAAGACGCCTCTGAAGACGTGTCACCTGGAAAAGCTACTGTCGAAGAAGAAACTCTACTCGGTTTTGAGAAGGGAAACAGTGAAGCCCTTGATTAAGTTACTACCATTGATGTGACTATTACCGATAATAGGACATTTCCTGATGGAGCAGATGAACTTTACGTGAAGCAAAAGCCAACGAGACAGAGACCAGTGCGAAAGTAGATACGTCCCGTAAAATTAAGATACTTTGTTGAATTTTAATTTTGTGTTTGTAAATTCTGTACATTTAATTAAGTTATTGTTAATTATCTATTGGTTTCATGTAAGTGGTTATTGTTCGGGACGAACAATACTAAGGAAGGGGTAGTGTTACGACAGCGGAAGTCACGTGACTCTGGTAACACGTAATGAGTTTTAGAAAGATCGGGGAACATCACGAATAATCCAGTATTTGCTAGACGCCCTCTATTCCTGTATATAAGTGAGCCAGATAAAGCGAGACAATTAATTGAAACTGGAATTGCAGACAGGCAGAGATAGAGACGGACAATTGAGTCAAGCACGGTAGTGACCGTAAGTAAAGTGTGTGTGTGTTTAAATTAAAGTGACTATGGAAATTAAGTGTATTGCAAAGTTGAATTGAGAAGGAATAAACTAGTTTTATTTAAGAAAAGACTTGTATCGCTGAAGTTTCTCGGAAAGAACTTCTACGAAAAATTAACAAACGACCAGAGACGTAACAGTATTTTTATTAACAATATCTGTACCGAATACCAGTAAAAAAAAAAGAACTCCATGGAAAAATCAAAACACATTAATTAGGAAAATAAACTGGTGGTGGTCATACCCTACCTTTCGGGACTTGGAGAAAACAAAAAGAATAAGGAATACTCTTAACATTCAAGCTTTGTTCAAGAGCCCGACTAACTTACGCAATATCTTGACCAAGGATAAGTCACAACTTTGTCTTCCGTGTAAATAATCGTTGTCTATAATGTTCCACGTGAATGTACAAATGAATATATGGGAGAGGGAGAACATGCGTCCTGTAAGAACACCAGAAAGGTATCGTACACGCTTCTGTAGATACTTCAGCTAAATCATTACACGCCAGAGAGAACAACCACAATGTTGATCTTAATAATATAAAAGTAGTTACCAAGGCCTGTGATACCAAAAAGAGAGAGAAAAAACAAACAAAAAACATTGCAATAGCAGCCCCTTCGTACTTGCTTACCCGGCATGGCCAGGTGGTTAGGGTGTTCAACTCGTAATCTGCGGGTCCGAATCCCCGTCCACCAAACATGCTCGCCCTTTCAGCCTTGGGGGCGTTATAATGCGACAGTCAATCCCACTATTCGTTGGTAAAAAGTAGCCCAAGAGTTGGCGGTGATGATTAGCTGCCTTCCCTCTAGTCTTTCACTGCTAAATTAGGGACGGCTAGCGCAGATAGTCCTCGTGTAGCTTTGCAAGAAAATAGAAAACAACAACAAACAAATCACACTTGCTGGTTACTTTTCACTAAAGAAACCAAGTATTGTGTTATCTCCGATGCTGTTTTAGAACGAACCTGACAATTTTTCTTTTCCTCAATTTAATCTAACTTATTTATTTATACTGTTGATCATGTCTTTCTTGCATTATATTAATACGTCGTGGTAGTAAAGTTAGGTAAAACGACCTCTATGCTCCAGATAATTATAAGAGAACTTCTTCAGGGTTATTAGATAAAGCTATTTGATATTACAATATTCGTTATTACGAACTGGCCGCAAAGGCGAAACGTTCTCTTATAATTATCTGGAACATAAAGGTAATTTTTTTTCTAAATTTAGCATTAAAATGTGTAAATCACTCTAATGTTCATTACAAATTCTAAGAAAAAAAACAACAAACAAATATTTTAACTTGCATTATTATTTTATTTTAGCTTATTAGTCTCCCTTCGTCAGTTTGTTGCAAAGATACAGAAGGCACGTTGTTTTTGTTGTTGCTCAGCAATGTGTAATTCGAATTATTCCGTTATATCCTGTTGTTTACTAAACGTCTTGCACCTCGAGAAAGTGAATGAAAAACTAAGCAAACAAAAACCGAAATAACGTGGTAGTAGTCCAATTAAATTACTTAATACAAATATGAGTACACATGGTATAAGCCTAAAGTTATTAAATTTAAAGATGTTTTATGCGATATATAAATATATTTGTATTAACGAATTTATGAGTCGACTGAATTTATTTTCAAATATGGCATTTCGAGCAACTTCCCTTTGTTTTATCTGTATAGGAAAAAAAAAAAAGTAAGACTGGAATTACTGTCCAAAAGTGCATGAACAACAATAAACAGGAACAAAAACCCTTAAGTTTATATATACATTATGAGGTATAGTATAAAAATATATGTTTGATCGAAGAAAACACAATTTTTTTAATAGTCATTTGGCAATAATAATGGTAATACAAAGGTTTGAAAGTATGTAAAACCAAGTTTGGGTACTGTAAACGTAAAAACCATCAACAACACGCAAGAAACGAGATGAAAACTATGAAAGGTATAATCTACAGATATTGTGGGAACAGCATCTAAAAAGTATTGTGGATATCTTGTCTTTTCAGTACCTACAGATAAATTAATAGACATAAAACAGAAGTTTGTTATGACACAGGTGCTCAAACCGATAATAACCAGTGGCAGTAATAGCAATATTACCACCTCTGGTTATTAGTGTACTTAAAGGGGAAACCCTTTAAGTACATTAATAACCAGTGGTGGTAATAGAAACCCTTTAAGTACACTAATACTATATTAAAACTACCCTAATATGGTATAAAATTACCAAGCAGCCACCTTTGAGATCTTAATTCATAATTTATTTTAGAACTGTGTACGTTTTGTTTAAGTATTCTATAACTTATGAAAACAAAGAATATGCCTTTTCTACAACTGGCATATTTTTTCCTCCACATTATATTGATGGTTCAATGTATTGTGTATTTATCAGTATTTTGTGATGTTCATTTGACTACCTAATATGAATTATATGCATGTTAAATGGGTTCCAGAATTATAGATTCAACCCCCACCCCCCCTTTTTTTTCTTCCAAAATTGTTTGTTGCATTTGTTCTATAGATTTAGTAATCCACTTTTTCCATTGAACAGAATTGAATGTAGGAACATTCACTTGCCAAGAATGCTCGAATAACAGCTTACAGATTTAATCCACTAGCAATTAGTAGTAAAGCACTCTTGCAAACAGGACCCATCCATAGGTTTTTATCAGGAGATGACCACTAGCTGGGTACCAATTTTTCTGTGGTACTTCCATTTTTGCATTTTCAGTGAGCAGGACTTGAACCATGTTCATACAAGGAGCAAGTTCTGACCAAACTAAACAACTAACAATTCCAGTAATCACAGGAGAATGGAAAATTTCATACAAAGAAGTCTTCTATAGTAGCGGTTATTAGTAAAAATGTTTCTCTGTAGTTCTGATCTATGTAATATTGTTAATACATTGATGCTTGGTCACCAAGTTGGTTAAGTCTCTTCAGTGTAGAGATGGCATGTACATGAAATAGTCCATTCTGGGATGTATTTACATTTAAAGGATTTTTTAATATTACAAAACTGACATTATAAACTCTTTAACCCAATTTTTAAGCAATGCCTCTCCGACATTTTTCCATTTGAAACACCGTTTTGTATATAAATCTGAAAGTATGTTACTTCAAATGTCAATATTTGAAAATGTAGTTTGATTATTTCTAATATTAACTTATTCTATCAGACATGCATTTTTATTTTAATATGTTTATTTATAAAATATGATGTTTCAGTTAGTGGAAATCTGAAATTCCAAAAGATCAACAATAGTTTGTTTTATAAAACTAGACAAGTTTTTAAATATATTTTCTTAAGTTCAATGGTCAACAAACAAGATTAAGTAATGTTATGCTTTGAAATAAAAAAAACAACAAAAAAACCTTTGTAATTCTACTGGAAAAAGCAAAATTTTATTATAGGACAGCCCAAACCTGCAACAAGTGGAGTTTTATCACAATTCTGAACAAAAATACACAATATATCAGATAATACAAAAAAACAGCAGAGATCATTAGCAGCATGTTATACATTATTAGTGTGGCTTTCAATGATTTAGTGAATAAAATAAACTATGAAAATAGTATTAATTATAAAACATATTTACACATATCAGTTTAATATCAAATGAATAAGAAAATTTGATTTTCAAATGAAAACACTTATTCAGATTCCCCAAGATAATTAAGATCTTTAGAAGATTCTTGAAAATTAAAAATTATGGATTTTGAAAAATATTACCCTTAAATATTGAAAATAATTACAGAAAGATTAAAACTAAACATTTAGGAATTACTTCTGTTGTAAATAGCAAAATAAGATAAAAAAAAAAAAAAAGGAAAATTAAAATACAACTTAATAATCACCGGGTAGATTCCATTCACCCAAACTGGCTATTGGCAGTTCATGAATGTTGACTAGAAAACACAACAGTAAAAAGTAATAATTTAGGTTATGGATGAACAGTCCACTACATATTGAGAATATGCTTCTACTTACAGAAGCAAATTAGCCACAATAAACATTTATTCTAATTATATTTTCTTTTTAATATGGTATTACAGTTGTTTTTTTTTCATTAACATATTCTATAACAAATTTTTATAGCTAAACTAGGCTTGAATTAAAACACTATGTTTTATAAATGCAAATGTTTCTGGAATAACAATAAGCAAGACCAATAAAAGCACACTGCACTTCCACCATGAGCAACTTAACACCATCATATGTCATCTAGTTGGGGTGGCGAAAGTTCTTTCCAGCATACTTTGCCTTAGAACCAAGTTCTTCCTCAATTCTTAAGATTTGGTTATACTTGGCAAGTCGTTCTGATCGGCAAGGAGCACCCGTTTTAATCTGACCTGTACAGAGCCCAACCACCAGATCAGCAATAGTTGTATCTTCGGTCTCACCACTACGATGGCTTACCATTGTTCCCCAGTTGTTACATTTAGCTAGCTGATGTCTGAAATTGAATATAAAAAATGTTTTTCTGGCATTTAATAATGACAATTTTGAAACATGGAATATTGGCTTCAAAAATAATTACTTAAAGAAAATGGGTCTCTTATCAATTTAACACTAACTTCAAGAATACCACATTTAAATAAGTGTTTAACATAGGTACACAAAGAATACAATTTCAGAATTTACGTAACTACCACTGTATACTGTGATTAGTTAACTTGTGTACACACACAGACATTTCTACAATAGGAAAAAAAAGAAGTTTGGTTTAATAAAAACAATTGTTTTACAAATTAGGCAACTTCAAAAAAGGTATTTTGTTACTTTTAGCATTTCTAGGATCATTAATTTATAAATTTAAAACTGCACGGCAATTATTCCCCAATTGCTAATAAATAATACCTTTTCACTATATAAAATTGACATACTCACTAAAGCACTCAAGTTATTTAAAAATTCTATTCTCGTTCTAAAGTAGCCAAATATATTATGCACCCAAGCGATGCAAAATGACCTTTTCAAATATACTTATAATATTTAATAGCTTCAAAATTAATGGTCTGTACTTTAAATTTATTTGCAAGATTCTGTAAACAAAACTTCAAAGTATTAGTGCTTTTATAGCCTACAGTATCCATATCTTGTCAGTGTTAGTTACATAACACTTGAACTTTATATATTAAAATATTGTTCTTGCATATTAATGACTTCAGCCTCAGGTTCTCCCATGCTGTACTTTGATGGCTCAAGTTACACCATAGCAATGTTTCATATACTGCACTTCAGACTTGTTATACAATGATCATGTTCCCAGTATTACGAAATTATTACACTTACGCCTTAATAGCCTCAGTTACACTTCCAATCTGGTTAACTTTCAGTAGCAGACAGTTACAGGATTTCTTATCCACTGCTTGCTGGATTCTTTTTGGGTTGGTCACTGTCAGGTCATCACTGAAAGTCAGACAGCACATGTTAATGTTACAGTAACCAGTTATCATTTGAAGTGTACTATACGAGCCACAGCAACTGAATGTTACCCAAACTTAAAACTGAGGTACAGTTATCGTATTAAGGATTATTTAGATGGGTAACAATGTACAAGTTTAAGATTTAAAACAACTTCAGAAATTAGAGATTCTTAAAGTATGAAACACACAATAAGTGCTTGTTATAAATTTTTTAATAGTATTACATCAAGACACCCCATAAATTAAATGGATACCCAACTTCTGTATATGAGGTTTGGAAAATATTAACTCAGTGATTTGAAACGATCACCATTTACAATCAAGTAAATAAGGAATTATTACCCAACAACCTGAATTTCTACAGCAGCCTGAAAAGAGGACCAAGCATCCCAGTCATCTTGGTCAAAAGGATCTTCAATTGATACAATTGGATAATCCTTGATGAATTCTTGGTACATAGAAGCAAGAGCATCAGGTGTAAGCCACTGGGCAGGATCAGAGTTGGGGTTCTTGAAGTCCAAATCATACTTGCCTTCTTTGTAGAACTCTGAAGCAGCCACATCCATGCCAATATCAATCCTACCAGTGTAGCCAGCAATATCAATGGCTTCTTTAATTAGTTCTAGAGCCTCCTTGTTGTTCTGGATGTCTGGAGCAAAGCCTCCCTCATCACCAACAGCAGTGGCTTGAAGACCAAATCTATGCCCAACAGTTAAACCTTCAGTTTCAGTATTTATATTTCTTTTATATAATATACAAATATTATATCTTTTCAAAATGATCAGTATATGAAAATTAATTTTCAAACAATAATACTTAAACTTACAAAAACAAGCTACTAAACATCTGAAACCATGGTTTAGAATTGTTCACTCAAAAATGAAAAATAACATTGGTGAAGTAGGTATTTAAGCAAGACTAGATTGCGAAATTTTATTTCGACATTAGCACATATTTTTGACCAATCTAATTTCAAATTGTAAACAACTTTTAGAAATCCTTAAATACTACATTTTTAATCCAAAATTACATAGTATTGTTTTTAAGTTTCTCTCCCCATTTTTTTTAATACACAGAATGAGAAAACATTGAAATAACTTGCCTTTTCTTGATGACATTTTTCAAGTGATGATAAACCTCACTGCCTATTTTCATGGCTTCTGTGAAAGAACTAGCACCAGTAGGAAGGATCATGAACTCCTGCATAGCCAACTTGTTTCCAGCATGGCTTCCACCATTGATCACATTGAAAGCAGGGACTGGCAAGATTACATCACTATTCCCAGCCAAATCAGAGATGTGACGATACAGTGGAATACCCTGGGAAGCAAACATTTCATATTTAGAAATAAACTTTACTTTAAAAACATACTTGATGGAATGTTAAGTTAAAACTTTTTTCTGGTTGATTATTTGCAAGTTTCTGCAAAGCCATTCCAATACAATCCATAAACCCAAATAGCTTTGAATTAGTGACCAACCAAATTCTAACTATTAATTCACTCAGAAAATAGCATCAATAAGAATGACTATCATAGCAACAGAGACTTGAAGATAGTGAAGGATGAATAAACTTAAAGCTTTGCTAATTTTATATTTTAAAGCATTTTTTTTTAATGAAAACAAAAGTTTAAGTATTTTTGCTAAAAGAATAATAACACTCATTTTTAAAGCTTAAGTAAATATTTAATACATTTAACCAAACTTTTTGGTAACTGTAAACATAAAACTCTTAGTGGGTTAAGCATTACTACTAAGTCTAATATATCCATTAGTACAGAGATTAAGTATCAATAAAAGACATTCCTACCTTTGTCAGTACTAATAATAGCAAAACTGATAATCATGGATTCTTTTTAACTAAAGTGGTTATAAGAAAAGTTGAATACCTTCTGGGCTGCTCCTGCCTTACAGACAGCCAGGGACACTCCCAAAATAGAATTGGCTCCAAGCTTGCCTACATTAAAGACAGACACGTGGGAATATTTATAGTAACAAAAGCTAAACCATCACTTTACACCTTATAGCATTACTTTTCACACAACTTGTATGTTAATTTTGTCTAGCAACTGACAAATATGCCAAGGCCTAGTTCAAGGTGACTTTTTTGTCCTATTCCCAGACAAAGGAATAACAATAAAAACTCTGAATCTTGAAACTTATTTAATTACCTTCCTTTGCCATTCCTGCTATTTCTATGTATTCATGGGGCTATAATTCACTAAACAGTATTTATGGATGCTTTACTAGTACAATTTTCTTAAGAATATGCAAGTCAATATATTTAAATTAAATTTTTGTTTATATATTAAAAAGGTAGTGTACACAAATCTCCTGTTATGTACTTAAAACAAAGCACATGGAAATGCAAGCTCAGACTTTTAGATGTTACAGTGACAAGGTGTCCAATCTCTCAGTATTCTTCCTTTGAATAATTAATCTGCCTATCACTGAAACAAAATTAAACAAACACTTCTTAACACTACACAAGATTTTACAAAAATCAGTTATGAAAGACTCGGAAAGTATTTTTACCTTTGTTTTCAGTTCCATCCAGTGATAACAAAAATTCATCAATTTCTACCTGCTGGGTTGGTTCAAAGTTCTAGAAACAGAAAAAAAGAAAGAAATATATCTATACTTCCATAACTCTTATTATTCTTGTGAAAGTGAAGGAAATTTACAGTTTACATTTTATTGTTGATATTCTTCACTTAAAACAAACTATAGTAGAGAAAAATTAGTATTTCACTCATTATTTAAGGTACAAATGAAAAATGTGGCCATTTAACCTCTTTTAACAGACAATTTTATAACTAAAAGCATTATGCACAGCAATTAACTTTTCCTTTAAACACAAGGCTGTCAAATTGGTATTAATTTTACATTTAACCTATAAACAATTACTTTCCCAAATTAATAATGCTATCTTCAATAAATAATAAAAGAACATTAAAACACAAGTTTTGAGATGTCTTGTATCTGTAACAAGGTTGTGTTGTTACTACAAGAAGCCCAAGTTCTTCTGTCTGAAAATTTCTAAAGCTTTCAAATTTTCAGAAGTAAAAGATTTAAGTGTCTAGTTACCCTGCTCTCAAGACCACATGATTATGAAATATTTCTTAATCAGCTTTTTATTGTTTAATAAATTACCTGAAATATTTATACATACTATGATAAAATACAGAAAACTAACTAATACTAGCATCCATAACGCTTGTTTGACTTTCCTCTCTTTCAAACTAGAGGATAAATAGAAACCATTTCCTTCCAACTGTTACCTCTATTTCATTAATTAATTACTTATGTATTAGATATTCTAGACTATCTAGAAGTTTTACTTTTGACATAATCCCTTACTCCACTGCATATTTTTTTCTAAACTAAATTAACTTTCTATAGATAGTTTTTTTTAAAAACATTTTTTTGTCATTTATCTTCTCTGACATTAATATTTCATTACCAACAGTTAATCAACCCTCCATTACAAATGTGGTCTCACCTTAGCCAGTAGAGCTGGAGCAATTGTATTATTTACATTGTCAATTGCCTTCCTGACACTTTTACCATGATATGAAGTTTTATCCCCATCCCGAAGTTCAAGAGCTTCATAAATTCCAGTGGATGCTCCACTTGGCACTGCAGCTCGAAACAAGCCTGTAGATCAGAGAAATTGTCTGTCAAGTGGTTTCAATTAAATATCATCCTCAATGCTTCAGAAGAACATCACAAGACTCCCTTCTATACAGAAACTACTCTATTATAGAGTGTAGAATGTAAGACATCCATAAAAAGTGCCATAAGAAAGCAAGTGTTGCACTATTGATGTCATTCACTTACAAAAACAATTACTGTATTTTTTACAGCTCTGAAGACTAGTTTTTCATACACAATCTGGTTAACAAGTACTGAAAAGCATAATGAAGTTCTTAAAAAAAAAAAATTCACTTACAAAGCATATAGCGGAGTAGAATTAAAATGTCAAACTTAGACCATGATACAAAGATGGTTTTAAATAAGCATACCCTTATCAGTAGTAAGATCAACTTCTACAGTTGGATTTCCACGACTGTCAAAGATTTGACGAGCATAGATTTTGCTGATAGGCATGGTTGTGGCATAAAATTCTAAAAAAAAAAGAAACAAGACATCTTAATGACAAACATTTTGGCAAAGATACCCTTGATAATATTTATACAGTATATAATAAAATAAAATTCTCCATTTACATATTTAGCAAGAACACACACAATCTTGATGCAAATGTGCCATTATCTCACTTTGGTAATTATGATGTAATTTATACATACATGGTATGTTTTTAAATTTTTGCTTTGATATTAAACCCTCGCAAAAAGTAAATTAACAGAAAACTTGTGTACACTATGCAGATATCTTGCATCCAGATTTTTTAATTTTCTCTTTATTAAAACTTGCTTTCAATCTCCCCGTTATGTAACTACTCTTGAAGAGGGTCAAAAGATTCTGTTGCAATAATATAAAAATGGAAGCAAAACATCAATACAGTGAAACATTTTTATAAAAGTTGTTTTTAATTTCATTCATGATTCACAGTAAATAAGGATTATTTCACTTATCACAGGATTGGATGTACATTAATATTACTCCTCTTTTTAAGGGAGGTGATAAAAATTATCAAGGTAATTATAGGCCTATTAGTCTTATATCAGTGATAGGAAAAGGTTTTAAAAATCTGATAAAAGATGTTTTGCAAAATCATTTAACAATGTTTAAAACTGTTAGATAGTCAACATGGGTTCACTAAAGGGCAAGTCTTGTCTTGCAAATATTTTGACACTCTTTGAAGAAGTTACTGCTTATGTAGATGACAGTACAGGTTGGATTTATTGTATCTGGATTTTCAAAAAGCATTTGACTAGGTGCCACATAGAAGGCTTTAAAAAATATTTATTAGGTGAAGAATTTAGTTTATTTTCTTGAAAAATGGATGGAGGGAATAAAGCAGGTTGTTATAAATGGAGTTCAAAGTGTTACAAGCAAGATACCTCAGGGATCAGTATTGGCACTTTTTTTTACTTGCATCAATGACAGATAAAGAAAAGTTCAATAAATCGATGATGATGAACCCACTTTGAGACTAATAATGCTTTGAGACGGCTTGAATGTAATGAAGAAAAACTAATACAAGTTTAACATAATAGCAAATGTACAACATTTCAACAAGGTACCTGATGATGACAAAACCTTGTATATTTGCTGTTATGTTAAACCTATATTAAAGTGTTTCGTCATTACCCATTCAAGCCGTCTCCAAGCATTATTAACTGTTCAATAAATTGTTTAAATATGCTAATGATAATAGGATTTTTAGTGTTGTTGGTTGTTAGGAAGATGCTGGTGTTTTATAAAAGGATTTAGATCATCTGATAAGTTAAGAAAATTCTGTTAGGTGGTTTTTAAATTATAATAAATGCAAGATAGTGCATGCTAATTATAATAATCTAAGTTACAAGTCCAATTTTCAGGGGTATATCCTTAACAATGGATCTTAATTTTTAGTTGATTAGTCTCAAGTCATCCAAGCAGTATACTGTTGCTAGTGGTAGGGCAAAGAAGATCTTATGTTTTTCTTAAAGAAATACTGAATACAAGTCTAAAGAGGTTATTTCATTGCATAATTCACTGATTAAACCTTATCTATAGTACTGTTTTCAATTTGGGGCTCTTTACCTTAAGAAGGACATTGAATAATTAGAAATGGTTCAATGGAAGACTAATAGGACAATACCTAGGGTAGATTGTCATACAAGAACAGGTAAAGATCTCTGGAATAGTTTTCTCAATAATAATAATAAAGAGTTTGGAAGGGATCTAATTGATGTGTTCAAGATTGTTAAGGGAATTGATAGTATCTATGCATCGTTGTTTTTCTTATTTAATAGTGAGAATGGTAGGACAAGGGGACAAAGATACATTTTGACAGAGTAGAAGTCATCTTTAGCTTAAACACTTACTTTTCTGACAGGGTAGTTAGCCATGGAATGGATTGATTACAGATGTGGCAGATGCATTAAATTAAAAATTCTTAAATCATCAGGTGTGGATTTGATTTATTTTTAAAGTGGATGAAACAGCCTCAATGGACCAACAGCCGGACCCCTTTATTCTTAATTATTATAGGGCAAATTAGACATCACCAACAAAGGTAAATATAAACACTTATTAATTTCACACAAAAATCCTGCACTGCTTTTAAAACTTTACATTCAAATTACATTGATTTGCACAGGGCAATAACTATTAGAAACATACAGCAATGAAGACATGTACTAATAGCTGTAACTGCAAGCAAATTAATTTTTAACTGAACTTAAAAGCAGTTAATAAATCATTTAAAGAAAATGTACATATACAATTAGTTTTTCAATATGCAGTTACTTTGTTTTTATTAATTAATAGGAAACTTAAATTTTACAAATGTACCAGTAATCCCTTATAATATTAATAAACCTAGTTCTCATAAAAAAGATTAAAATACTCAGTCATAATCATACCGCTTATTCTGTTGAAAATTCTTTGGTTGAACTTTACATACAAATTTTGGCCAATCTTCTACTAGTACTAGGTTTAATACTGAGTAATATGCTTAAGTTTAATAATAGTAATACTTACTTGCTTCAAGTTTACTTTAATAACACGTCCACAAAATCAAAGATTATGATAAAAATTAATAATAATAATAATACTGATTATAGAGTTCCATTTTTAATTTTAAGCATACATGAGGCGTTGATTTATAAGATTACCTTATCTTTTAACTTGACATTTTAAAGCTAAATTTGTCACTTAATTCTTGCGTAAAGTATTTTGGAATAGAAATATCGATTTTTTAATTTTATACTACTATTGCAAATTTGCTATCAGTCCTTTTTAACTTTTAAAACCCGTTTCGAAGGGTGTTAAAATTATGCATGATAATTGACATGCTTCTATGAAAACACAAGAAAATTTTCTTGTATCTGTTTCACTATAATTTAAATTGTAGATCAGGATTATTTGAACTAAGTCACAAACTACGAGCCTCCGGTATTCTCTAGTCAAACTTTCAAAGTGAAGGTCAACCAATGTCACTGATAGCGATAAACACAGTCGCAGTGATGCATTACTGGTGTGCAGAATAATTCCCTGTGCAATAATAACAAAATAAACTTACAAACAGACATATTGCTATTTGACCTATCAAAGTTACATATTCTAAAAAATTATTTTCATAAAACAAGAACAACTTTGCAGATAAATAATAGTAAAACTTACACTCAATGCGTATGGTTCCCAACACTCTACAGCATAGGCTTTGACACAGAGATACAAGTTGCCGCATATTAAATCTAACTTTTATAGCCACAGAGGGCAGCACCATTGCGCCATATTCGTCTTTTACCAAAAGGTCTTTTTGAAATGTATTAAAAAAGTATCGAATTTTCATTTTGGACTGCTTGCATTGAAAAATTACTTGCTCAAATTATTACCATTTTATTTCTTGGCTGAATTAGTTTAATGCTACAAATATACGCAATAGCAAGTGTAGCTTGTATATAACCATTTGAAAAATCCTGTCAATAATAATGTAGAGAAATTTTAAAAAGGGAGTCATTTTTTTTTACATAACTAACACAAGATTATTTCAAACATGTAATTTTTTTCTCTCTTCTCACACTTTTGATATCAGTTCACCAGTGTTGGATTTCTTGTTTAGTTTAGGTGCTAAGTTCTTTATGGCTAATGTTTCTTTTAATCTTTTAATATCCGTAGTGGGCAGAGCATAGATAGCCCATTGTATAGCTTTGTGCTTAATTATAAACAAACAAACCCTTATTAAACGGCAATTATGTCAATAGAATAACCAAATTAGGACAATAGGATACCAAGAAGACAAATACTGTTGTAATTTATATAAACCACACGCTTCCATTTGTTTTTTGCCTGTCCGCAAATTTCTCTATCAAATGCTACAAATCTTATATCATTAGAAAGGTCTTCGTTCGAGAAGTCGGATTGTATATTGGCTTTTCCATTTAGAATCACCTTACCTGATTTTTGTTTAGTCAAACTTTTTTATTGCAACCAGTATGCTACACGATGGCACAATGTCATTTTCATTACATGACGACTGGCTTCGATTTCAACTTTAGTTTTTGTTTTACAAAGTATTTAACACAAACAACATTTAACCCGTATGTAATTTTCTAAAAAAAGAACATTACACTAAATTCAATTTCTATGGACTTTCTCATGTCTAAATTACACATTTCGTTCAAAACCATTTGGTTATCACTTTGTGAACACACATTCAGACGTTTCTGCATATTTAGTCAAGTATGCTTTCAGTACAACTTTACTTTTACTTTAATTTGCAATAATATAGCTTCAGTTCGCTTCTCAGACTTCTATTAACACCATTTAACTACTTTTTTGTTTAGTACGGGTTTTATTTTTCGTTTTTGTAACTTTCTTTGTTTCAACTCGTAAAACCCTGCCATACTTTGAACGCTTATTTAACTGTTTCATACTCTGTACACTTATAAATACCATTATTATATTTTACTGTTTACATTACGTGAAGTTTTATTAAATAAGCTTTTTCAAATTGACCAGACTTTATCGATCGATTTAACACACAATGCCTTCGAGAAAGCGTAGCTTAAATGGCGTGCGTGAAAATGATAGAAGAACGAAAATTCAAGTGAAGGGCATGAAAACTACTGCAAATGTTTTGCGGGTCGTTGCTAATAATATTTTACAACTGCATTGCGTCTGTAAAAAACATGTACATCATTATATATTTTTAACAGTAATGTTTGTTTATTGCCTTAAAGAACTTATAAAATCTTATGCTAAAAACCTGGCCCGGAAAACTGTTATTAAATCTCGTGATCCTTATAGATATAGTGTAGTCTTGTATATATAAGACCAGCCACGAAGCGACAGTTTGGTTGAGTAATTGAATGTATGCTGACAGAAAGAATATTGTTGGGCACGTGAGACGTTCTTTGAGAATTATAGCGTTTGTTATAGAGCGACTGTTGAAATTAAGTGTATCGTAAAGTTGTATTCGGAAAGAATAAACCAGTTTTATTTAAGAAAGGACTTGTGTCGCTAAAGTTTCGTCGGAACGAATTTTCGGAAAATTAACTGACGAACGGAGACGTAACATTATAAAGGATAGAAAAATGTTTCAGTACTACGAAAAAAAATATTTTATTCAAATAAAAAAACTAGCTGCCCAATGAGTGAGACTATATCAATTGCATAAAATTAGTACTAATTAACAGAAAACTTACTACTTCAAAATTAAAATGTGTTAATTTATTAACAACTGAAGGCTAATACAAAACAACCATTCTTAAAAACACGGACGCAAGCCTACTGCAATGATTAAACAATTAAGAATATGTTCAACGATATATTTCCTCCATTACTTAATTATTACCTTTGTAACGCACGCCAACTCCCTCAAACGATTACATCTGTAATGGATCATTTCAAACGTATCCCACAATGCCCCAAAACAACACCTTTCCCAGCAAGTCTTAATAAAAGTAATATATAAGAATTCTACTCTTTAAACTTTATCTATAGATGTACTGTATTTGCAATTATGACTAACAATAGTAATATTCCGAGTATTACCAGGGTTTTCTTTATTACTAGTTGTGTTATGTTTGAAAAATCAACTTCATGTTGGACGAATTTGCAAGTTACAAATTTAATTTTCTTGTTATGTTATTAACCATGTGAAAATGTTGAAATGAACAACTAAGTTTTGAAAAAAAAAGTTGCTTGTTTATGACTTATGTGTGAAATAACGTTTTTGTAACAAGAATCAATATATAAAAATATTTATTCAATAACTGAAGATATTATTAATAAGTTTGTTGATTGTGCTTATAAGTTTTATCCAAAACAAAGCTACGAAAGGGCTATCGAGTGTAACCGTTCTTAATTTCAAAGTGATGAGACAAGAGTAGAGGGAAGGCAGCTAGTCAACAGCGCCTTCTGCCAACTCTCGGACCTCTCTAATCGAATAGTGGAACTTGACTATCACACTTATGTGCCCAAGGCACCAAATACAGAACATGATCTTGCAGCAATAGGACGTGAACCATGGACTTTCGGATTCACAGTCTGGGATAATAACCCCTAACTCAGATACGTATATATATCGATTTTGAAAATACAGAGAAAACGTTTTTTTGTGGCACTTTAACAGTAATCGTTCCTGAAAAAATAATGATATGACATAACATATTCTATAAATTTATAGGGAATGAGTTATTAAGGAATTAATACAAACACTTTAAAATCTCAGAAAAAAACATTTAAGATTAGTGTTGTTAGTTTGGAATTTTAATTTCTGTAGAAACACTGGCAGCAGACCGCAAGTTATTTGTAATACATTATGATTTGCTACCAGGCCCTAAAAATGCCTGTTATATTGTATTTAGTTGCACTCATAATAGGCCCAGTATAAATTTATTCCCAGTCCTGGCTGACCTTTGTCTATCATCAATAATCGTGATCACGTGTAATTTTTTTTGTTGCTCTTCACAATAGATAATATTTAACTAGTTGCCCCCGACTCCCAGTTTGTTATAACTTTAGTTTCGGTTTTGAAAAAATATAATACATATGCATACTGTATTTAACATCCATTATGTTAGTGTCACGTATAGATGTACATTATACTTGTTTTGTGGTGTCCAGAATTAATGAGAATGATCATGTGACAAAATATTATATAAATTTACAACCAGGTTCTGGTACTTATGCTTTCCTTCTAATGCATCTCATCTTTTAATAATTTAGTATGTAAAAATATATCTAACACACCATTACCGCTTGACTAGTACAAGTGTTGAACAGTCTCACCATGTCATTACGGTCCATGCTCTATCCGATGACCATACATCTTGACAAAAGCCCTGCAGCTACCTTCCACTACAGAAGGTTTCATTGTAAGGCTGTCAGGTCCAAAGCATTCCATTTCCTCTTTAAATAATATATCTATTACAGAGGACAACAGTATCTCAGCAATACTTTCAACAGACTCCAGGCACTGTATCTGGCAACTTGACCAGTATGATTTTGTATGTAATAACATGAAAACCCATTTCTTACTCCATCTGATCAAGGTATGAGATGGTTGAACTGATATATTATGGATGCAACTGGTGTACACATCTTGTGTCATTTTCCCAGACAGAGTTCCTTCTCGATTGTGTTGGGTACTGTAGCCTGGGACATGTGGATGGTTTTTGTGTTCATGGATTTCACCTGTTACAAGACATTGCACTTGCTTACCATAGCAGGGGCTTGACTTGTTACAAGTCTTTTTCTGCAAGGTTTTGGTGCCCCAAGTTAATCTATATTTCCTTGTTTTCCAAAGCAATTAAGTATAAAGGATATTCCACTTACATTATTCTAAATCTCAGATTTGAACATGTCTATTACCCGAGTGTATGAATATTTTACTTTGGAATAGACTGTTAATTATATTTCCCAAAGCTGATAGTACCTATGAAATGAGAAGAAATGTGAAAATGTAGCTGTGATGCATTCTATTTCACTGTGACTTTATATTGGCTGTGGTTGTTAAACAAGTTGGATATCTGCACATTCAAACCCCCTTTTACAGCAATTTGTGTAATGAAAAAGAAAGAAATATTATAGTTTTACATTAATTCCAATAATATGTAAAAATTCTAAAAAAGTTTTTGCCATACACACATAATGATACTAATAAAAATAGAAAAACTTATACAAAAAAATGTTTCATTTATTCAAAACACATTTGTTTTTTGTTTAGCCAAGATTAACATTAGGTACAGGTACCATTTGTAAGGAAACAAAAATACAAGTAACTCTTAAAATTTCTAAACTCATACACTTCCACAGTTTTCAGCTAAACAAATTCAAGCATTAAAAGAAGAAATACAGAAAAAAACAAAATTAGTTTTCTTTTTTGGAGTTCGTCTACATAGGTCTGTCACATTTCATTATGTATAAGCATCAATCAGAAACATTTACATACAAAAAACTAAGACTGATTTAGTTTTTAATATTGTAATCCTGACATATTTTACAAGTACTACTTTATGTAATCTTGATCACCTTTAAATCTGTTACAGAATATCACCTAACATTCTAAGTTCATAACTGGATTTTTTTATCAATTCGTACATTTGAAAAGTTCTCAATCAATCTAGTTGAATATTTTTTACAACATAGATGTTTTTTTAAACAGCAGTGAGATAGCCACAGGTATTTACACTCCATATCTATAATCTATAACTAAATTCTGCAAATTTGAGAAACATGTTTTTTAAAAATTTGCACTATGTAAAACTGCATTCTATCATTACTCTTTGTTTCATTTAAAAAATAAAATGAGGCTTTAATTTTATAATTTACTGAATTAGCTTTAAAAAAAAACTTACAAAAAACGTTTTCTACAAAACCACTGTAAAAATAATAATAGAGATTCACAATTCTGGTTTTATTTATTTATTTTATTTTGTTTTGAGAAACTTTGTAAAGCTCCAAAATTATTTTTATGTTTTAATAACAAGCAAGGTTTTTGCTTACTTTAAAATTAAAATAATATAATTGTTTTTAAAATCAAAAGATGGTTAAATGCAGCAAAAACAAATGAAAATAAACAATGCTCAAAGTTTGTTTACATACAGTAAAATTGAATACATAAGGCAGATTAACAGTACCAACATGCCATCATTTCAGTCAGGGGTCAGCTGAAAGTGTAGGCTCTTTTTGCAAGTTACATAGCAAAACATTAATTACATATCACGAAATAAATATATTACATGTCAAAGCTGTATTTTCAGTTTCATCCAAATCATTTACATCATCTTGTGCAAATCTAATAATTATATTAAATCTATAATGGATATTTATAACTTTATTCTTTAAAATGACCATATTTGTACAAAGTACTTAATGAAATGTTCAATGTAGTTAAAAGCAGTCAAAAATTACCTTTTTTTAAATTTTTTTTATTTATGTAAGTGAACATTGCATTACTACATCACCACTTGAAGCGAACAGCTAGTGTTTGTATGTTCTGTAAGGTATACTCTTATAATACTTTCATTAACAGTACTGATTAGTATGTTTAATACATTTAATTTTAGTATTTTTTATTTTTATTATTATACTTTTATTATATTGAATGTTTAGCATTGTTAGCTTTATAGATGTATTTAGAAGTAACCTAAATCTAAGCTGTATGAACTTCAGACATTATTGAGTTTTGCTCTAAGTGGGTAGCTTTTTATAATCAGAAGTTATTATTAATTACCAACAAATTTCCATAAATTATGAAGTTATAATTAAGAAGATATGAAAATCACTTTAGATGTAAAACCACTCTTAAGGGTGATGCTGAACAATTGGTTTCAAGTTTATTCAAATACACGTATAGCCTAATCATTTCCTAAATGCATTGAAAATAGGGTTGTAAATTATGATGATGATGAAATGTTTATTTTAATTATTGTTATAGTTTAATTTATCAAATCAATAATGAAAAACTTATGGTTTAGATTTTTTTGAACCCCTTAGTGGGCCCGTGTCTGTTTTCAGGTGAAAATCATTTCTTGTTGTCATGCAAAACCTACTAATACATTTATAAAACAGCTTTTAGTGCTAACGGAAAATTGCAATTTGTTAAAATAATGTATATAGCTTACCAATATTTTCATAACAACAGCTCTTGTACAAATTCCTAACACTACAGAATTGGGTCTTTGAAACTCTAGAGTTCAGCTATATTCAAGAAAGTTTATTTTTGGCTATATATAAACCCTGCATAACTCCAGAACTATAGGTTCATTAAATAAAGAAATATAAGGAGTTAAAAAACCAACAAAATTAAAGACATCTATAATACATTGATATTTTTATTTCCTGCAGACTTACTTTCCAAGAAATGGAACAAACAGTAACTCTAACTTAAAAGTAATGAAGTTTTTCTCATAATTAAATCATCAAATTTTGCTTTTAACAAAAAATACAATTATTCACCCCCCCTACTTGTTGGTGTAAAAACTTTCTGGAATATTATGCATTTTGAAATACTTAATGGAAGGTGAGACTTAATTTATATTACATCACATTGTAATTTGTTTTGAAGAAGTCTCAGTATTACTAGAATATATTCCCAATTCCCTGCATTAACTATACTAATTGTTATTTTTATCATAAAGGAAACCTCATTAAGTCCTTTTCATATACTGGAGTTACCTTATCATTTCTCTTTAGATTGCTATTCACATCTTCAAGGACTTTGTAATTGAAGACTAATGGTTTGCAAATGGTTCAATAAAAAAAAAACAATTTATCCTTTCAGAATAGTTACTTTTAATATTTAGTGATAGAATATCAAATTTATATCAAAGACTTTAATTTACATAAAATTCGATTTACATTTAGTCCATTAGTAGAAACTATATACTATTCAAGCATCTGAAATTTCTAATTAAAACATTCTTTTATATATGAAAACAAAACTCATTGAAAATACATCAGTATTTAAGAAGACACTCCACCTAAAAATTAACACTAAAACAATTTATCGAAGAATCTTTGAAGGAGAAGAAAAAAAAAAAGGTGTTCTGGATTCAAGGCCAGATAATTACTTCTTTTTTGTAACCGAGAACAAAGAAATGCATTGAATTACTTTTCCCCAACATTTATTTACTGTATGTTATTTCCGATCTCTTAGTGAAACCTCATACGAGTCAAATTAATATTGACACCACTATTTCTGCATTACAACTGAATAACTATGTAAAGTGTGCAAAAAATTATTGAACAATCATTATAGAGTAAATAATTACAAAACCATAAAACTAACACATTCAACTTTCTGAAGTTTATTTCAAACAAAACATTGCTTAATAATAAAAATATTTTTCAAAGTGGTTGCCTATTTATTACCATTGTTCCAAGTATCATTTACTAAGGAGTCTATGAATAAACTGTTATGCTTTAAAAAATGCATAAACAAATAACAGGACAATACAGTAGCAGAACACTGTAAAGTTTAATAACAACTTCTTGAAATTCAGTTGAGAAGCAATGAATAATTAAAGTATAACAGCTTAAACATTGTAAAATATATCTGTAGAAAGCTATTGGTGCAAAACACAACTGCACCATTAAAATTTGTAGACCATTTTTTTGTACTCGTTTTTTTTTTCAGTCAAACTTTGCTTTTTTCTTACTTACTTTATTAATTTGCTGAATATTACTTTAAATTTTAAAAACAAAGATGAAAAAACAAACCTGTCAAGCTAACAGATATTAAAAACTAATCTTAGTTTATATTCACCATTATTCTTAACACTGTCATTCTTTGTGCATGATTTATCATCACTAACAGACCTAAAAATAAATATAAATCAAGAACTAAATATCAGTTGCCTGACAGCACAAATCATAAGTTTGGTTTTGTGACAGATTTCTTCAATTGTATACTGAAGTCTGTATTTTTATGAAAAGTTACTTAACTAGCAACTTAAATTTCATTCTTGCTCTTGGTTGCTTTTTATTAAAATTTTTTTTAAACAATTGAAAAGTGTCATTAATATAACTTGAACTGCAATGAAGAAGAAATAAAATTTTTTCCATCATCAAAATATTAATTCAAAGAAAATTTAATATTCAAGATTGTGTCTAAACATAATCAAAACAACTGCATCCTTACAAATCCAGCAATCTTCCAGCTGATCCCACTAACATATGATTAACCGTACGAGACTTTAATACCAATTAATTTCAACTTGACTACTCCCATTCTGTGGTCCCAGGTGGTTTTGGTGTAAGGTCAAACAGGACACGTGAGATACCAGGAACTGTATGTATTTCAGCTACCATCTTGTTCAAAATCTGAACAGGGGAAAAAGAAATTACTGGATTTGAGATTTTCAAAGAATAGCAAATGTTACAGTGGAAAATATGAAAAGTTAAATGTAAAGTACCATATGTGATTAATAAAAGCTCAGCAGCAGTTTGTTGGAAGTTTCTTTTTTTAAATTAGAAGAGTCTTTAATTCTTAGCAGTATTTCATTCTCTGCACATCTAATGATCTTAAACATATTTTTAAACACTAAAATATTACAATTCTTGAACAAGTGTTTAATACTTTAATGCTAAAATTCACAAAAATTCCTGTGTTTTGATTTTCTCCCTTAGTCAGTCATGTGGAACTGATGCAAGTGCCCTCACACATTGGGCAACAAAATTTATCAGCTACACAACTTCTATGTTAAGGAGAATTCCTATCTTTCACTAGGATCCTTCAAAATCTGTTACAATTCAAAGACAGGATTGGACATAAGAGTGAAAGAGTTAAAAAATACTATTAAACTGCAATTTAACAGACACAGAAGTCAGGAAAATGTATATAATTTGCATAACTTCAAGAATTGTACATTCTGAGATTACTCCACAGTTTCTTTATTGGAAGTTCTTTTAGTTGATTTATTTTAGTTAATTTTCAATGGATCATTTCTACAAAAGTTGTTTTCAAAATAGTCATCTTCTCAGCACCTCATCAATGATGCCTTATTGGCATGTCTGGACAAGACAGCATTAAAGATTATTAAAATTCATACAAAACTTTTATTATTATTATATTTTAATGAAAATTATATATTTCTTATGGTATTACTGTCAAAATAATAAAGCACAATATAGCGACAACTCACTATAAAAACACCACTAGACTATGTGTGTAGGACAAAATTAATACCTCTAGAGGCAAATGTTTGTTAGGTATGGCCGGAATACCCGTCATGAAATCACTTGTAAGGAAAGTCCGGATAACAATGGATCGTTGACACGATGGCTGCCTGGAGACAACGTCACGGTCAAAATGAATGGGGATGAGAATTATGGGCATTTGTGAAATCTGATTATAGTATCCACTAGAATGCAATATGTTCTGTGCCAAGAAGTCAGCCTGTCGTAGTGTACTTAAAACCCCTGTGGTAAGGAAGGTGGGTGTGATATCCTGCACTGGGAACTGGACTGCATCTCCAAATATATAAACCACCCTAAAATTAATATACACGGCAGAACACAAAACATTAATATACAGCTCGGAGTACATTAAGCCAGATAAAAAAAGCCTTAGGTACATAACTCAGAAAAATGGAAGTGGTGATCAAATTTAGGTAAAAAACATACAAGTACAACTTCCTGTTAAAGTATTTGTTTAAAAACACTAAAATACAGGAGATGATTGTCAAAAACTAGGATGTGTCCAGAATAATGTTTGAAAGCAAATTTACTAAATAAAGTTTTCTTTTCTATTTGGAAAATAAATTAATCCTTTTTTTAATTCAGTGGTAAAACAAAGTAAAATTTTATATCCTCCCCCCTCTTCCCTCTTACAGGAGGTATTTTCTATTTAATGGTTAACTCACGCAAATATGTAAACTTATGTTACCTGTTGATATTGTGACAGATTCTTGGAATTAGTTTAGCTAAGACCATTAAATCCTCCCAGTCTCTAATGCTTTCATTACTAGAAAGACCAACAACATAGCTGTAAGTTCGTTTGTCACCCTGAAAATAAAGAGCCAATAAATGTGACTAAGTCAAACTTCAAATTAAATTACCATTCCAACTACATTTTCTATGACATACAGTAATAAAGTTCAAAATAGATCTGAGAAATGTCAGCAATATTTTTACTGATTGAATAAAAGCTCCAATAGTTATATACAACTGAACTCTTATTTCAGTTACATTGGGAGATGATACACACTCGTGAAAAACTTAAAAAAAAGAAAAGAATTGAATACCATATTTTGGAAGTTTAGCAAATGTAAACCATAGAGCATTTCTGTTAAATCAGCAGAGACAGGCAATAAAATCTAACTTCAGAAATCCATCTTGCAAAAATGAGCTTGTGATATTCTAAAAGCCATATGCTTCACAGTAGGCAGCTATGCAAGTATTCACTAATGCATAAATTCCTTTAAAATCACAAGAACAAATCCAAGTGAACAATATATACTGTTTTATTGGCCAAATATGATGGGCATGGTACATGAAGCTTTACATGTAAAAATCCTGCTTTTTTGGTTAGCAATTCACTAAGTAATCTGGTCAGTCGTTCTTGGATGAGGGCTGAAACACTGCTAACAGGGAGGATAGCCAACTGATGACCCAAGGCAGAGTGGTTTTAGAGGTCTTTTATAGCTTGCCTGTCATTTATAATTAAGCCTAATTATTAAGAACTGTAATTTTTATTGAAAAGTGTTAGCAAATATTCTGTTATTGCAAAATTTTATTATCTGCTAAATAAGATTAAAATGCAGTTATAAATGACTATGCTGGATGTAGATATTAACTTCTTCATACAATTAAAAAATGCATCATGTTATAATGGGAGTTTATTAACAATGACAAAGAAATAATAGTGATGTTTGACCTTTAATTCTTGATATTTTGGAGCAAAGCTAAACAATGGGTTATATGCACTTTGTCCCCCATGGGGAAGTACACTCTGGATTTTAGCTTCGTAAGTTTATAAATTTACTGCTGACCCACCAGGAAACCTAAATTTTTAAGCATTATGTTATAGCTTTAAATGTTTTAGTGTTGGAAAAAGAAACTATGTTACCCGAACTTGTATATCCAGAAAAACTGTTTCAAATTAACTCTTCACAAAATTACTTCCTCACTGTAAACTTTCAGAATATGTCTCATTTGAGATGAGTATTATTTAAAAAAAATTAGTCTCACCTGCACTCCAACACTTTGAATGGGCAAAAGTGTAGTTGTCAGTTTGTATTCTTGAGATAACTTAACTAAGAAAAGTTGTTCATCATCAGATGTTCCATTTTGTACACGGTTAATGAGTGCATGTTTCTGGAATTAGAGAAAGGACAGTTAGTGCTATATTTATATTAACTTGTGATTAACCAATAATTTAAAAAACATGAAAAAGTTAGTTACATAAACTAGTTTTTAATGATGGAATTAGTTCCAACAGAATTTATTAATTAGATACATTAAAAATACATTATTATTCTCAAGGTTTGATTCTACTGTTCATAGTATTATTCTACAAAGAAATACTTTATTAATTAATGTACTTTTGTTAGCAATAATCATAATAACCGTTGTATGATACTGTATCGATTTAAGTCCTGAACAATTCTGAAATTAGGGTTCAATTCAAGTTTTCCAGGTATTTACCCCCCTCCAAGTTTTTTAAAAACACTACTCTACGCAATTGTTAAACACACACGTACATATATGCACACACTGGCAGTATAATTTTAACCAACACTATAGTATTCTAGAAAAGTGATATCGATTAAGAAGAAAATTTAAAACCCACAAACCTGTTACATCCACTAACCTTTTCAAGAGCATTGCAATAATCTACAATAACCTTGGCTAAAACACTAGTTTCTGAAAAGTCTTTCTCCATGTAAGCATCTTCTGAACATATTACTCGAATAGCCAGTCCTGGCCCTATAAATTTATACAGAAAGAAGAATAGAAAGTTGGGTCATATTGGCACTTTGAGTACTTCAACTATTTTATGTAATAATAAACGTACAGGAAGCTTCCCCCGAAATAAGTTCATTTTGATATTATCCGATATATCATTAATGACACAAACATTATAACTATGACTTAAGTACTTATTTTTTCCTCCTCCTTCCACATGTGAAAAGATGTTAAGCCTGATAGAAAGTATTTCCATACCATCGTGGGGGTTCCAACTTCTTCAGGTCCTCTTTTGATAAGGTGTATTTTACATTATCCACAACATAGTTTGTAATCTAGTTTTATTAAGCTTATTATTATTGTGTATTATATGTTTGTCATTCTGAGCATTAATTTATTCATGTTAAAATATTTTAACCCTCTCCCCATAAGCATCTTTTTCTGTGCATGTCATGACGTTTTAGTGAGTTACATTCAAAATTTATTTAAACTACTTTATTTGCATGATATACCAATAAATATAGCATAAAGACATAGCTAATAATTGCAATTTTAATAGTATACAAGTTCTTAATTTTTATAGAGCAGTATTAAGAAAACAAAAATCCCGAATTTCCCTAAGTATGAGAATTGTGACATTTTCTCTTTAGGTATCCCCTCTTCTATAATGTATTTACCACCTCTGCAAAAATATGAAATGTAAAATAAATTACTCATTATAATATTGTCATTGCTCAGACAAAGCATAATTTTAACAGCCTTCAATCTTATTTGGTTACAGAGCCATCAAATAGAAAATTAGACACCTCTTGCTACACCCGCTTGTCACATCCTCTCTTTCAGAAATTGCCAATAGTTCTCTCTGACATTCAATACTGTATTATTTATAACTAATACAGAGCCAAGGTTTCACTCTATCAAAAGATGTATTATATTACATTGTTTTCTATACAGAGAATCAACAACTTCACTTTCAGTTCAAGATTTATTCCCACAAGAAAAACATTGACAAGCTTAGATGAATTTTTAATGGCTCTTGTCACATAGTTAGAAAGCCAGAAAAATTGTGATAGTTATGGGACATTGCCTGAATTTTGCATGCCATTATTATGTGTTTTTTGGTGCATTATTTAATTAAATAAAGACAATTATTTAGTGCAGTATTACATATAATATAAAAAAGTAGGGTTAAGTGTCATTGACAGACAACAGCAAAAACAAAATAGAAGTACCCAGGTTAAGTACTTAATTTCTTGTTTTTCATGTGTAATCTTTATTTATTATTATTATTATAAATGTAACTAAAATGTACAAAATAGGAAACTTTAGGTTATTTGAGGTTAGGTAAAATAAATAATACAATAAAAATTTTGCACAAGGTATGCACAAGAGTAGCTCGTGCATAATGTAATTGGATAGTGTAATGTGAGCTGCACATCCACCCAGTAATTTACAACTTATAATGGCATGCATATTAGTTAGACAAGATTCAAATGGAAAACAAACCAATAAGGGGCAGATGTATATTGTTAAGAGTTTAAAGCTATTTAGGATGAACAAATCTAGTTTCATGTAACAATTTGAAGTCATTCTAGAAAGAAAAAAAAGAAAGGTGTAATTTAGATTTATTTCAATTTGTTTTGGTGTTTACAAGGTTGGTTAAATTAACCATAATAGAGTTAGTGCAGAGAAAATAATAAATTAAATTTAGTTTTACTGAAAAAAAAAAAGTTTGAAATTTATTCAGGAGGTTTGAGAGATTATGCAAATAAACAGATTTTTTAAGACAAATAAAAGTATTTTTAATCTTAAAGTGGAAATCACTTTACACTCGGACTAGCAAAAAACAGACTACATATATATATTGAATAAACCAGCTTCTTCCAGTTTATCTTATTTTATGCATTAAAGTTACTTTTAGGCACTCACTTTTTTAATATAACAAATTTATGCTAAATCACATTAAATGAACCACTACTTTTGCAACTTCACTACAACAAACCAAAGAAATGTATCGGGAAATTTAGATCTGTAAAGATACTTTAAAAAACCTAATAACTTGACCTACAATAGAAACTTCTTTAAACTCACCAGGAAATGGATGTCTCTGAGTAAGTTCCACTGGTAGACTTAAGTCCTTTCCCAACACTCTTACTTCATCCTTATGAAAATCTTTTAATGGTTCTACAATTCTTCCTTCTTCTCGTAAAAGACGCACAAGTTCTGTGTCATTATGGTGTGTTTTGATTGTATCAGCTTGATTACTGGCTATCTTGGAGGCACTTTCTATTAGGTCAGGTCGTAAAGTTCCTTCAGGAAAAAAAAAAGGTTGACAGATAAAAGAAACTTTATGTCCATCATGGGTAATGAAACTCGTTTTTTTAGAGTTACAAGTCTTTGGACTTTCCAGGGGGCAATGAAATTTGATAATCTGTCACTCATTATCCAAGTCTCATGTGAGAATAAATTAATTTATATTATCAAAATTAGTAATTATCTAAAACACTAATCTGTTTTAAAATTGTTTTTGTGGTATTAATCAACTTAAGTGCTTGTAGTTGTTTGACCTGATCGGTCAGCTCTATTCAAAATGTTAGAAAATAATGCATTTAGTCTCTAGTTCAATGGACTTCTGAGAACTGCTTATTTAATTGTGAGAGCAAATGTGCTTGGTGTTTTGTATGATTACCTTCATGTTTAAGTAAGCCTAATACTGAATTATGCATTATAATTAGCACAGCCGATTGAAGAAAAAATATAAACTAATAAAATTTACTTTTCTTTTTTAGCTCTTTCAATAGAAGTGTGTTACAAAATTTGAGAAAAGTTACCAATTTCATCATTATTAGTTGTTTATTTGACATTTAGGTGATTATAGATATTAGAAGTTATACCTTTTAAAGCTTTATACTTAGTTTTGAAATTTCTGGAAAATGAAAAAAAAACTCTTACATTAAACTATTCACATATTAGATTGCTATGCATTGAAAACTAATAGTAAACATTTAATAATAATACATACCCATCTTCAATTTTCCATATGGAAAAATTTTAACAAATAAATCCAAGTGGCATTTCAGTGAACAGCAAAACTAGAAAGCTCTGTTCACGAACTCCTCATCTCAAGAAAAATATTTTTAGTTGAAGTGCAAGTGCACATGATGTATTTTAGGGTCAAAATTCAGCTTATTAATGTTATTAATTTAACAATTTTGTGGGTAAGAAACAAAATACACCCACAATAATAAATTGTAAAAAATAAATAGCCTATTTGCATTTCAATTTCTGACACTTTTTAGTAATCATAATGATACCAAATCTTTGAAACACTTGTATAAACTCATGATGATAACTTTGGGTGGTTAAGTTTAATCCAAACATCTATGATCACTGAGAAAATGGCTTTACCCATTGTTTACCTTAGTTCATCACATTTCAAGAGTTCAATTTACATATTAAGCAAAAACACAGAGCTTTGATTTTTTTATACCAAAAGACAGTTTTAACAATGTTTGTAAAAATGTGGGAATTCTAAATACTCAAAATAATTAGTACTTTAATATTTCACTAATTTTCAACAGTAAATAAATTACAGTGTTAGATTTAATTGAGAAAACCCAAACAAGTCTAAAGATTATCATTGGGTAAGGGGCAGGGATACTATACCACTTTAAACTTAAAAGCATAAAAAATTGGAAAGATTAGTGCCTAATTCTGCTGCAAGTTTATCTTGAAATATTACCAATTGACAATAAATTTACTGAAAATTATGAAAATCAAATCTACAAAATATACCTTGTCCTAGAAACACATCATCTGGCTTCAACTGTAGCTCTGAAACAATGTCATTGGCAACCTACAATTTTATTGAAAGAAAAATTAGTTTTTTAAAAGAACATTTAAAATACAAAAAAAATTATGTATCTTTAGAAACAAAAACTATATCACTATATCCTCCTCCCCAATCAAGTCTAGTATATTAGCCACTGCAAGCTTCTTCAATTTAACCCTTTCATTGTTCTGCCTATCATATGATATTTCCCTAGTTAACTGCTCTACATATCACAGGTTTTAGGTTTTCCCATCCCCGTTTGAAATCCCGGCCAATATTTGGTTGTACCATTGACCCACAGAGGTCATCCCCAATGCTTATACATAGTAGGTAATAGTGTATAATGTAAATATCAGGCATTTATACAGTAGTTTTAGCAATTCATATTAGTGTGCCAGGTGTAATATTTGTACAATATAGTCATGTTATTCACGACCAATGCTGTGCCATTGTGTGAGATAAGAGAAGAGTGCAATACCACATCTGGAATAAACAAACAAGTCCTGCTTGCCCTCCCATCTTATCTCATAATCAGTGAGGGCCGTCCAGGTCCCAGCCGACACACCACTCCCTCCTCATCCACTACACAGAGGCTATCATATAACTTTCAGTGTTTATTCTTTACTTTTGCATGCTATACTATTTCATAAAGTTGAAAAAAAATTTTTTACATGGAGTCTTCTATTCTATCCGAACAGTGAAAGGGTTAATTATAACATTTCTAACCCACTGATATCATCCAATGCTTATAATAACACAAAACTTAAATTTTTTTAAAACACAGCAATTCTTCTAGGTATACAAGTAGTTACTCTAAATTCAATGCTTACATTCACAAATGTGTCTCCAATTATTTTTCTCTTTTCTTCAGGATTTGTGGTCATGCATAACATTTTTGTAGTTCTTTTCCTCACAGGATCGTTTTTGTCAATGGGGACAGTAGTCATGCTATTATAAAACTGATGGGAGGCATCAACAACTGAAAAAAAAAAGGAACATATATTAGACACACATGCACACTTAAGACTTATAATTTCTCACATTTCTTTGACTGTTTTAATAAAAATAAATATTTTCCAATTCTGAACCATGTACATGCTTAAAGTAGTAGGTTCCGCTTTTACTGTATTCATGCACAGATCTTAGTGTATTTACAGTTTTGGATTTTTAGTTAAATATATTTACAATTTTTATTCTGTACTGATGCACAAGAGAAATATGTAATAAACTATTATGAACATAGATATCAAACAAAATCACAGAAAATTGAATGAAAAAAGAGATGAAAGAATCATAATAAGTTTTCAATATGAAAAACTCGTCAAAATAAAAACATTATACAATTTTGTATCATGTATGACTTCTTTTAGCATTAACGCAGTTCTTGCAGCATTGGTGCATAGATCCAATCAGTTCAAGGACAGAGTACTGTGGGATGTTCTACCATTCTACCAGTGCAGCCGTAGCCACCTGTCAAAGGTTGGCTGGTCACAGTTGTCTTCTGTTGATGGCACTGGTGAGTTGGTCCCACAGATGTTTGATTTGGCCATCGTCAGAGGGGAAGGCTGACAACAGCAAGACTGACACCATTTTCATAAAGTTGTGTCATTATAATCCTTGTGCTGTATAGTCTTGCACTGTCCTGCTGTAGCCACTGCAAATTATTACATAGATGGACACGACAGTTGTGATAGTCCTAAACCAGAACATGGCCTGTCCCTCATAGAGCCAGTTTTCTGGTTTCTTTGGAGTAAACTGCTGATTGTTGAAGCAGAATATCTCATTCTCCAGGTAACTTCTTTCAAAGACAGGCTGCCTTCAATCCTGGCAATAGTAGCCAGGCGTTACTGACCATAAACCATAGGTTTGACTAGTTATATAAATTATAGTGCTCCTTCACCACACACACACAATATATATTTATTAAGTACAACATTTTAGTGTGGAGGACTTCTAGTTCTTAGATTTATGGACTTGATTTTCTAACTTGTAAATCTCAAACATGAATAACAAGCCAAGAACTTGAACCCCCACAGAGTTGCCTCAATCATGTTCCACTTCCCACTTTCTGACAATATGCATTAAATGATGGAGGTTTTCTTAAAATCTATTATTAAAAAAAAAGTATTTTCTTCTAATCTATATGTTGCTTTTCTCAATTATTCTAACAAGAAAGTATTTCCAACTTTTAACTGTATCATGTTTCCAAATTATCCCCACCTTTCCTTAGGCTATATTTATTTCCCCATTACTGTATGGTTAGATGAGAAAACTTCCCAATGTTTTACTGAAATTTATTGTTTACAGTTATATTTGTATATTAACAGCTAATCACATTGATACTTTCAATTTTGGTGAGGAACTTTTTACCTCTTAATTTCAAACCTAGTTGCCGAAGTGAATGTTCCACTTGAAGGCTTTCATTTTTTCTCATAAAGCCATTATTAACATGAATAGCAATGACCCTTTCCTCTCCAAGTGCTCTGTGTACAAGTGCAGCACAAACAGTAGAGTCCACTCCTCCACTAACCAACATCTGTTGTTATAGTAGAATAATGAGAGATGAGATAATTAACATTTAAATCCAACTTTTACAACAACACAACATATATTCAAATACAAACCTTTTATTTTCTCTGCTAACCATTCTTAAACGAATGAGAAAAAAAAAAAGATTTTTTGTAAATCTTGATATCCAATTCTAAAGCCAATTAGTGATCTACAATAGTTTCTTTATTTAGAATTTCATGCAAAGCTACACGAGGGCTATCTGCGCTAGCCGTCCCTAATTTAGCAGTGTAAGACTAGAGGGAAGGCAGCTAGTCATCACCACCCACCGCCAGCTCTTGGACTACTCTTTTACTAAGGAATAGTGGGATTGACCGTCACATTATAACGCCCCCACGGCTGAAAGGGCGAGCATGTTTAATGTGATGGGGATTCGAACCCACGACCCTCAGATTGCAAGTTGAGTGCCCTAACCACCTGACCATGCCGGGCCTGATCTAAAATAGTACATTTAGTATCAATAGTACATGCTATTATCATATTAGCGTGCATTTCTGAAGAAAAATTAAAAACTTAAATTTAAGATACTATATTAATACTTTAAATGCTTATTAATTCCAACAACACTTATCAATATTACTGACTTACCTTTTCAGTATTTTAAAACTCTGAGAAAACTGCAATTTTCATTAGACTCTCTTTGAATACTTCCTAAACATTATGTATCTCAAATAAGCAGTATAAAGACAAAACATGTTGATAAAATTTAATAGTAACAGAAAACAAAGTACATCAGGTTAACATGAATTAAAGATTTCTTCCTAGAACAAAGACTTTAATAACCTTGATTTCTTACACCAAACAGTCAACTTACTAATATTTACCCACTTGAAATCAAAGTTTATTTCTTAATGTAGTCAAGTTTCAACAATTTCAATATTACCAGTAATACTTTTGTTTTTATAACTTACCAGCACTTTTTTATCACCAACAGTTTTTTTGATGAATTCAATACATTCAATTTCTCGACTATGCATGGTGAAAGAACCTTTAAGTCCAGCAATATCATAAAGGAAGTTTTTCATGATCTCTTTGCCCTTTTCTGTTAGATCAACCTCTGGATGAAATTGGAGTCCATAAATTTTTAATTTTTCATTGGCAATAGCTAGAAACACGAAAGAAACAAAACATTAAAACACTATGTACAAACTGACAGGATACAAAACTGTTAACTGTTGATAAGATTTTGCAAAACAACAACAACTTAAGAGCTACAAGTAATCAACATTTTCTTTATGAAGTTGTTTCAAATGCAAATCTCATCTGCTGTTCATTCATTGAATGATATATAATAAAATTTGTTAATATGTTAAAACAGAAATAAAATATTTTTATGTGATATTTGTAATCAATTTAGAGCTTTGAAATTTCAAAAATATTTCAGTGTGATATGTTTTTAAGAAACAAAACTGATTACTTGTGTTTTAGATTTTAATTACCATATTTTACATCTTTCTACATTCTTTTATGCTATCCTATAAAGTTATTACTTGATAAAATGTAGATTTCAATTCTGATTTGAAGTGGAAAAACTGCATGCAGCTTTACTGTGTTTATGATCACTAGTGCAAAGTAAAATAACTTACCAAACTAAAATTATAAGTATGCTGATTTTTTTAAAGTTGTTAATCAAACATTTCTATTTAGTTTTTTGTACAAAGTTTTAAATCCATTTTATATTCATTTATTTCTTATATCATCTCTTTTGGATGATTTTTGTAGCTCATTCAAGCAGTTACTTAGGTCTATAAGGCCTAACACAGCAGACTTGTTGGCCAAACAAACTTAATATTATTAAGTGTAAAATCATTTAACTAAGCTGACCTCATCTTGTTCCACAAAATATACTTAAAATGAAGCATAAAATGATAAAGCAGCTTTTTGCAAAGTTTTGGGAGAAAATCAGGTCTAATTGTGGTGAAAGTTCTCACAAACATTTTTCCTTCTGTCAATGCACTATCAAGTTAAGCTTTTATCACTTTGTTCTGTACTTTATGCAAATATAAAGTTGAAGAAAAAAAAAAAATTCCAATATGCGTTTAAATTATTAGCTTACAACTTCTCAAAGCTGAGAAATAGGCAATTACATCACACAATAACAACCAAGGTTATAAAAAAGAGATTGGCTAAAAACAACAAAACTATACTTCTAATCAAATTACAAGATTCAAAATATTATGAATTTCCTCCTAGAGGTTATGAGTATTTTATTATGCTCAGAAAAATTCAGGAAATTCACAAACACTAATTATTTTGTTGACAGCAAGCTAAAATCACCAAAATATATATTTTTAATTGAATAATTATAGTTCTTTTTTTAGTTCAATGGTCTAATTTTGCCCTGAGGTGAGATACACATATCAGGGCTCTGTAGTTAAAAAAGAAATATATATAAAAATACCTGAAATGGAACGCCCACGAGTAGCTATGACCTTAAGGTTGACAGCAACCTTATCCACTCCATCTCCATGTGTTAAAAGCACCAACTCTTCTTTATCAAGACCCCTGGAATTAAAAGTAAGAAGTTATCACTGAGGAGGAGCACAAAATAATAAAATTCAAATTATATACACGTTGAAGATTTTTCTTTTTAACCAAAGGTGAAAATAAAGATAATCTGTGACATAGAGGCCTAATGCATTCCTGGAATGGTCATACCCCCTACTGTGGGCTGCAGTTTTGCCTACTCAAGGTTCATAAGCATTACCAAGAAAAAGAAACACAGTTATGCCTCTTATAATGAAGGGTATATAATATCTATAGTGGAGTTCTGTGTCCTTTTTAATTCACCATACAGTAACCTAAATTAATTTAGGTAAGTGAATAATGTTCTGATATTTCACAGAGGCCAATCAAAGTTATTCTATGGTGAATTAAAAAGGACCCAAAAACCATAGAGACAGAATTCAGATTAATTACAATCACTTAAATAGAACTGAAGATTATTAATTTCATGATAAAAATTCTTTTAAAAGAAAGTTTTCTTGGCAAAAATGACAATCATGAAATTATCAAAACTTGCTACATATAATTCCCAAACCAAAAATTAATTTTCTATTAAAATTAACAAAACCTAGTAAAAAAAAGACATATAGCAAGAAAAAAAAAATCACATTAATAAATAAATATCCTAAAACTAAAGACAGGATGTTACTGTGAAAATTAGTAAAAGGTAACATAAGTAGCATACAGTTCAGAAGGAAGGAAATGTACAATATATATATATATTTTTGTCAATAAGTTTGCTATAATATTTATTAAAACAGTTAAGAATCAAATTTTAAAAAATTAGTCAAGCTGACAGTTAATATTTCTACTATTTGATTTTAGAATTGTCACTCTGGAAAAGTTGAAACACAATGTTTTCTAAAGCTAAAACTTACTTGAATAAAGCTGATTTTGTGTCTATCTGAACCTTAAATTGACCATCGTCTCGGATATCCTTTTTCAGAACACTGCCACCAAATTCTGTGTTCAACATCTTAAACAAAAAAGATAGAAATGAAATATTTGTAGCTTATTGTACAGTACACACACAAATTCTAACTTTAAGTATACTGAATGATTAATTATATTTATGGTTCTGGGGTTTGATTCTCCAGACTGCAGATAGCCTATTGTATGGATTTGTGATAAAACAACTACCAAGTAATGAACAGTAAAATAAAAAGGCAAAAAAATATGAAATAAAATTAATAATAGCATTTTTAGTCTGCACTGACTTCAATATTAAACAGAAAAAGCCAAGTTAATTATCTTAAAATATTAGAAGTTGAAGCTGTTAACATCTGTTTTCTTTTAATTTTAAACCACATAATTTGAGTATCGTGTTTCACACCAGCACTTGAACTAGTATAATTCTAGATGTTATATTAGGCTTAGCTTATAAGTTTATAATTTTTACATTTCAGTTACTTTTGTACAAAATATATAACAGATATAAAACATACATAAAAACAAGAATTTATAGTACTTGCTAGCGTATAGCCCATCAAAAATGATGGGGCAAATACTACAACCCCCATCCTACAGTATATCCTAACCTCACATTTCATAGCTAACTGAAATGAATAAATTTTGCAAAATCAAGCTTGACCAACAAAGAGGCAGAAAAGTGTAGTCGAGGCAGTCAAATGTTGGTAAATTCCTTTGTGAACCAATCAAAATTAAGATCATTATTAGAATAATTATTGATAAAAATCAGGTTAACAAGTACTAATATATAGAAAAGCCAGCGCATTTTGGTAATACTATGTTCTAACAATGGCTTTTATGTCATCTTGCATAGCAACAAAAGTATAACCTAATATTATTGTTAGTCTATGTACTGAAAATATAAAATGAAATGTACAGACAACAAAACTGAAAAAATATTTGTTGATGATTTTTTAATTTGGAGTCTCCATTGATTGACAAGTTTTTTTTAATTAAAAAATGTTGGTGACATAACAGAAAATAGCTTAATTCAGAAACGATTTAAGTTCAAAATTAAATCAATATGAAGGTAAATTTTATGCACTTGGCTCTATGATAGACGATCCCACACTACGTGTTTACTTTAGGCCAACACTAACTACACTTATAAGGTTTCATGCCCACCCTCCATGGTCTCCTTGTACCTCCCCGTCACTAAAATTGTAATGGGCAGACAGTAATTAAACTATTCTCTCTGAATAAATGCATTATGGCTTTTATGACTCCTTATATTTTGAGAAATCAAGCATGGTGTGACATGACACACACTGGCTTTTATACGAGTTAGACTGCATACATAATGCAGTTTGCACTTGAGCACAAGTTCTTCTGGAAGCCTCGTTGAGTCTCACAAACTTGGGTATCCAAAGAATAATCCATTTATCTTTCAAAATTCACATAAAAAATATATTAGTTACAAGAATAAAATGCTACAAAACTACCATAATTTATTCTTCAAGCATTCAAAGTAACAAAATGTGATTACACCAACCAAAACACTTATGTTAACTAGCACTTTACTGAAGGACTCCAAATATTTATGTAGAAGAGAATGTGTTCTTTCTATTGCTGGTAAACAGTCAGAGAGAGAGAGAGAGAGAGAGGAAATGGGCTTCTTTGGTGGGTTTGACAAATCTATTGGTGTATCAGTAAATCAACAAGTAAGGAGGTTCAAATTTTAGGTTCTTGATTTCAATTATAAATTGCATTTCTAATCGCTGGTAAACTACAGAAGCCTATTATTAAAGTTAGAAAATTATGAAGTCATGTGGAACAGAAAAATTAAGATTGAGAATTTTAAATATTTCTTTTTGTAATTAATATATATAATACAGAATTTGAATTACAAGCTACATTTTCATGTCAAGTTTGATATATATAGATAATAAAGTGGTTTAAAATTTGAATGAAACATTATAAAGGGTTGTGATAAGTGTCAAAGAGCCAGGTCCAGTGTGAAGGACAAAAAGGGTTCATTTGGTCCTTTAAAATATGTTCTTGTACATTCACCTCTGAGGAAAAAAAAATTAAATCCATCCTCTTATTTTTCATGAAATGTTCTACTCTCTTTTTAAACACTCAAAGTACCAGCCTCTACTACTGCTGATGATAATTCAATCCAAAAACTACTCATTCAGAAGCCTATTGACTGCATGGATAAACTTAAATAGCATCATATTTCCTTTTTTTTTCTTAACACAAAATAAGTTAAGAGGTTATAATTCTTTCATTAAATGATAACCATTCCATCCTCAGAATAATCATAGTAGCCTTCCTATGAACCTTTTCCAACAAACCAATATCCTTTTTTTAGATAAGAAAACTGAAACTGCACCCAATTATCAAGCTTAATATTCATTAGTTCTAACCACATGAGATAGTCATGCTTCATTCAACAATACAATTTAATCTTTGTTCATACTGTTTAACATAAGAATACTATCCATATCAAATGCACATTATATTGTAGTGAAGAACTACATACTTTACTATATCTAAAGTTTATAATATAAGCAAGAAATACCATTTCATCTGGAACAGTAGTCCTCCCAAAGTCTGATGGCACTTTCTGTACAGAATGACAGCAATAACTAAAATTGTCTAACCTGCATGCCATAGCAAATCCCCAAAACTGGTAGTCCACAATGAAATATCTCAGGATCATACTTTGGTGCTTCTTCAGCATACACAGAACCAGGACCACCAGAGATAATAATAGCCCTAGAAAAAATTATTATTATTATATTTTCAAAACAAACAATTTATTTTGAAATTTTAAACTAATAACAAGAAACATTTAGAAGGCATGAGATTTTATTTGACTAGTTTATCTCACCTTGTTAATTTCAAAACTTAATTCTCTACAAAAATCCAGCTAATTACATTGTTTATACATCACAATATATTCTTGATTCAAAGAAGAAAAAAATTTACAACAAATTCATTGTTAATACCCATCTGCTTAAAAAAACCCAAAACTCTCTTCACTGTACCAGAAGGGACAAAAACTGTATAGTTGTATATTTAACTGTAATTATTTATCATGTACAGTAAAGTATTGAAGTTTACAGTTAAAACTAGCAATATATATATATTTTGAACAGATTCAAATTTAAAAAGATAGAATTCATCTGAGAACTTGAGAAGTAACATACTGAAAGGTATTGTATGAATGATAGAAAAACTCTATATCTACTAGCTGAATTATTACATTTGGACATAGCTTAACCTTTGCCTTTCAGACCCTGAAAAGACAGACAGAAGAAGACAATAATGATATTTGCTCTGCTTAATTTACATCTAGAGCTAGACGATTTAATTGATGAATCCAAACGTTAGTGTTTCTGATTATTACAACAACCGTGTAACCAAAATTTCAATTATACTAATTATCATGAAAACAAACTAATCAAAATTAGGGTTTCTTATTATTAGTATTCTTGATTATGCCAACTATCCAAGTAATCAAAATACTGCCACCAAATGTGCTTGTCCTTTGTTATGGCAAAGCTACTGAGGCTATCCGGCAACTATCACTAATTTTGAAATACAGGTAAGGCAATTTTCTGGCAGCACCCACCTCCAACTTTTTTTCTGTGTGTGTCTGCTTGTGGACATGTATGTCACATGGGTTGAGGAATGCTGTATTGGTTAATCCTTCCACTTAGGTAAAGGTTGCATATTACAAAGGGTAGAAATGTATCAGATACTTATACAAATTGGTACAACTTAGTGATTTTCCTCCCTTAGCTTATTTGGAATAATCAGTGATGTATGCAGCAATTGATACTGTATATAACTTCTCTAAATATAGGCAATAAATCAGAATTTGTCTTTTTTTTTTTTAATTTCATAGAAGGAACAAAAGACTCATCTCAATACCAGATTCTGGAAAGTTTATGCAGAGAATAAATAAAACTTTGGCAGAAAAGGAAAAAAACAAATACAAGTAAAGAGATGATCAAAATCTTCATTAACAAGTACCGAGTCCATATACCACAATGGCTGGCCTCAAGACTTTTAAACATATCTGCTCTGATGGATATCGGTGAACCTGAATACCACAGAATAAATAACCAAAAAAATAAAGTTGCCTGAATAATTTTAGCAACCCAAAAACTGAAAGAACAACACAATATCCAAGTTCATGATCTCAAGTCTATTCTGATCAAAGAAGCTTGGTTATGAATTTATTTTGCCTTTATTGCACTAGATATCCGTTCTTTCCAGTATCTCAGCATCATCAGCTAATTCAGTGCATTCCTCCCAAAATCTTGTACTTTAACCTAAAAGATTGATTTCTTAATCCTGTGTTAGTCTTATGTAAAAAATTTCCATAGTCACTCTTCCAGAATCCGAGTGGACCCCACAATAAAAAAGTAATTAAAAATGTTTAAATAATAAAAAACTATTATTCTGGAAACAAAAAAAAACAAGCATTCAAAATATTTTCCTTTATTAATCAATAAATGAACATTACAACTTGTTTCTTTTTGAAGTGTAACAATTTATATATATTGAAGCTACTGAGAACAACAAACAGGTAAGTGCTTCCATCTATAGGTGCCAGTGTTTACAAAATATTTGAGGTCCATGAAAACCCCGGACAACAAACACAGAGTTAAAATATACTACTTGAATTTTTCTAACTTGGAAATAAAAGTCAAAATATGATATGTTGTGAATACTAGTCTTCAAATACAGAAAGATTTCTAACCTCATCTGCAGCAATAGGAATATGATCCGAAAAAACAACTTCTTTGGTAATATTTTTCACATGTCCATTTGGGGAGGGTAAAGAGAGAAGGACTCAGTTCTCTCATGAAGTGTATAAAATTGAGTGCTACCTCACACAGAATAATTCCATGTGACCTTGAAAGCTTTTCACTAGCAAGAAAAATTAATTGTATGAAATAAATAAATGAAGATAGTATAGCTTTTCTACTGGATAATGAGGTATGGAAATGGTTCTTCATGCTCCCACACACACTGAAGGACTACAAAATGCTCCAAATAAACAGTCTGGTGTAATTACAAAAAAATTCAAACTTGGCAATTTCTTTTAAAGTTAAGTTAAATAAAATTTGTATAGGAAGGTAAAATGCAAATACAAATAATATTGTCTTAAACTTACTTGTACCCTTCTTTTAATAGTGTCTGTGCACTTGTTTCTAGAGGGACCATTATCGATTCTACACACAGCTCTCGCACACGTCGATCTATCACCTAAGGTATAGAATAAGACTACATCAATGAAGTAAACTGTCAAAATCATAAACATATTACAATATCTAGCCAAAGGAAGAAAGCTACAAATGTTATGCAGCAGTAATCTGTTCCAGAAAGTTAATAAATTAGGTCATCAAGATATTAATGTTGCATTTTGGAACAATTTCATTTACAACACCCCAAAAAACGTACATCATGTATAATAGTTAAACAAACCACCTAAACGTCACGTTAGTGTAGCCTAAATAATGTGTAAAGTTTAGTATACTTTAATCCCTTATAGCGATGGCACACGACGAGACACACGTTCAACATGTAATGTTTGAATACAAGAAAATAAACAATGCCTCTGTATCCACAAAGAATATTAAAGAAGTTTATAGAAATGTTTTGAATGTTCACAAGTGTCAATGATGGTTCAGCAAATTTCGTTCAGGTGACCTTAGCCTTAAAAACTGTGATGGCCAACATGTTGGAATTGATATTGATGCTCTGAAGCCACTTGTTGAGTCTACCCCAAGGCAACACACTCATGAAACAATACGTAAACATCTAAGAAATATGGGAAACTCCATAAAGAAGATGTTTGGGTGTCTCACAAACTATCTGATGATCATTGTTTCTAACGTGTGAATGTTGCTTTGTCTCTTCTAGCGCGTAATGCATGTGAACCATTTTTGGAAAGAATTGTCACCGGAATGAAAAATGGATTCTGTAAGTGAATATTAAATGCCAAAAATCACTTCCAACCTCAAAACCTGGATTCCATCTAAAGAAAGTGATGCTTTGCATTTGGTGGGACGTCAAAGGAGTAATTCATTTCAACTAATCAATCCACAGAGAACTGTCAATGTAGTGATCTATAGTCAGCAACTGGAAAATTCAAATCAAGCCCTTCACTCATCAATCAGAAGGGTGTTCTTTTTCTCCACGACAATGCACATC